AAAATGATCAGGAGTCGATAATCTATCGATTTATGTATGATTGAGTTAGTTTTCGTAATGAAAATCAAAAGGGCCAAAATGTGTTCAAATGCGCCCCCGTCCTTTGGAGTTTACGCAGTTTGGAGCTCACTTTTTTTGACCGAATGCTGGGCCATAGTTCGGGCGATTTAAAAGCTAAGGATTTATTTATATGGCACAAAATTTAGTGTTATTACAGATCACCATCCATTATGTTGGTTAAATAAGCATACATCGGAAAATGAAAGACTTTATCGTTGGTCATTGGTTTTACAGGAATATGACTGTGATAATCAACATAAGAGGGGCTGATGTCATTTAGACGCTGATTGTCTATCAAGATGTATGTCATCAACCGCTACACCTGACAATGTTAATAATGATGAACATAATGAGGATACTATCCCAGCTCACAATGAATTTCGTCCATTACTCATTTCAAATAACATCTATACTTCACACAATAATGCAGTACCAACACGTGCACAAAAAGCTGCGCTAGATGACGCATCAAGATGCAAATCAATAACATTATCGAAACCTCAGCCGACCATAACATCGACACTTCAACCAACAACGCCATCATCTGAACCCAACAACTCATCCTCAACACGAGGTTTCAATTATTTGAAAATTCCGCAACAACAATTATTGGATCCTTTTATTCAACAACGAATTCATGAAATAAAACAACGCCCAAGTAACTATACCTTGTTTGTGGTTGAGCAAGGTACCATCTACAAACTTATTGAGATGCAGCCAGGTCGAACAAAGAAGAAAGTGCCATGGGTACCCCAATCAATGATAAAAGACTTGTTGTTTTCCGCTCATACGCATCCAACATCAGCACACTAAGGAATCGATCGAACTTATTATAAATTCAAGAACAATTATTACTGGCCTAATATGTTAAAAGATATAAAACTGTATGTAAACCAATGTTTACTATGTGCACGATATAACATACCTCGACAGACACCACCTGGATTACTAGAAACACCAGAACCACCAAGTGGAATATTTGATTTAATTGGCATTGATTTTTGGGGTCCAACGCTTGAAGCTACTAGTAATGGTAATAGATATATTATTACTTGTACGGATCATCTTTCAAAATTTGTTATTGCCAAAGCAGTACCTACAGCATCCGCATCTGAAGCAGCTAAGTTTCTTGTTGAAGACGTTCTATTTAAATATGGCCATATTCCGAAACATATCCTAACCGACCAAGGATCTCACTTCAATAATTACCTAATGCAAGCAATTACCAAGGACATTGGCATTAATCCATTCTTTCAACATCTTTTCACCCTCAAACAAACGGAACAATCGAAAGATTCAATGCAACAATTAAAGCACAATTATGTAAGCTACAAGATTTGAATCGTAATAATTGGGATCAATATTTGTCACCAACTATTTATGTTTATAATATAGGGCAACATCGGACAACTAAATATGCACCATATGAATTATTATATGGAAAACACCCTACTTTACCATTTTCTCAACCTCAACCTATGTTACAATTCATACGATCAAATGATTATTATAATCAATTTCGTAAATACCGTTCATTTATGATCCAACAAGTTCGTACGAATATTCAACAACAACAGCAGCTGAGTAAGAAACGTTACGATCAACATCGGCAACATATCCAGTATGAAATAGGACAATTGGTACTAGTAAAGCCAGCTGTACGCAATAATAAAATGCAAGCAATATTTGAAGGACCATACCGCGTGACTAATGTTCTTGCACCAGTTACATATGAAATTCAATTAGAACATTCGAATTATATTAGACAACTACACGTGAATGTAATGAAACCGATCTTCACACCACAAGATTAAACGATGATCTTCATTTCATTTCGACACGTTTACTTTGGCTTCAAGAAGAAATAAACGAATTTTATCCTATGAATGAACGAGGACATTCATCTTCAAAGGGAGGTCGTGTTATCGAGGTGACCCTTGACTATCATATTATCTTCCAATTGTCTATTTTTCTACATTTAGCGTGACCATCATTGCTATACTATTGCTCAACGTCTGGTGTGACTATCATTCTTTGTGCTGTTGTTCAACACGTCTGGCGTGTTCATATTCTTTGTACTATTGTTGAACATATGACACGATCCTATAAATACACATGCTTTCTCATTTTTTGATAATAAACTGTATAGCCAGTGCTAACACTCTGGAATATCTTAGAGTCAGATATATATCTAAATATAATTAATAAGAAAAACATTAACTTGATTTTCTGTAAACTTACTAGTGTACGCAAAAACTTCATCATTATTCATATCTCATCAGACTGATATTCCACGTTTCTATGAATAGCGAGTAAAACAGCCTCTCAAATTTTATTCTGCACTTGTAGTCCATGATGATGAGATGTGAATAATGACAAATGTTTCGAATACACTGTAGCATATATAAAAAATCAAATAAAATTTTCTTATAGTAACTATATTTAGATTGATATCTGGTTGTAAAATATTATAGAGATATTTTGAACACTAATGTTCTCTATAATTTATTTTGGTTCATATGAAGCATGTTAAAATATTTAACGAAAATGAATCAACTAATTTTAGGCAAAAGTGGAAATATATCCACAAAGCGTGTAGTGCAGTAAACGCGTGAAAATGAATGCATTGTAGTGCTCAATAATTTTGAGACACAGGATTGACCACATTGGAATGTCATGTAGTCAACAAATACCCTAGCCTATATGAAATGACCATTTTTTCATCATAAAAAAACATGATGAAAACTATTGATTATGAAAGATTAAAGAGTGTCTATAGCTTTATTGAATTGAGTTAAAAAAGACAACACTTGCAGAATTTATCTTAGCAAAAACAACTAATTTCGTACATTCGTAAGGGTGGTGCTGGAATACAAAGAGACACTCACACTATAAAAGGGTCGACATCATTGAGCAGAATTTTATATGTACTCAACGAGTTATACAGATTATTAAAGTTCTCTTGCTTTAAGTAAGAAAATCGGGACCAGAAACAATTTAAGATCCTAGCCGGTTCAAAAAGTGATTTTGAATGTCGCTAATTGTAAAGCGTAAATATGAGAAAAGTTACAGTAGTCCCGAGTGCTTATAAATCTGTTTTCTAAGCTGAATTAAGTGCCGCAGTTGATAAAGCGACTTTCAAAAGTTTGACGTGTGCACATATAAGGGCTTATAACCGGCTTATATTAGGTTAAGCCGCTTAGAAATCGCTTTCAGTAGAAAAGTTTTCACATTGGCGTTTCCACTACCATCACATTCAAATCGGCACGATAAATTGTGAAACAGCACTGTGCTTCCTCAAAACTGCTCAAATTATTGAGAAATGCATGTTTTATCTACGTTCGAACAGCTCTGCAACTTTTATACGATTTGCCAACTTAATAGAATCATCATGAATCTGAATAGAAATAGCAATAGCTCACGTATGAATAATTAAAACAATATACCACGTCGCGCTACAACAGAATGCTGATTTATCACGATCAATTCGTCAAAGGGAGAAGTTATCCTTGCGGTCTTTAGAAGAAGTTCTATAGTAAATATCGTTATGGAGAATATTGAAAATTCAACATATGATAACCATCAGAGATCGTCAGTGCTTAACAGTGCTTGAATTTGGAACAAATTACAGCGCTTATAAGCGATTGAGAATGTAAGTGCTTGTAAGAGCTTGAAATTGGAAGAAATTACAGCGCTTATAAGCGACTGAAACGATAAGTGCTTAAAAGTGCTTGATTTTTTTTTCAATTTCAGCTCTTTTAAGCAGCTTAATGAATTTCAAGTGCTTGGAAGCGCTTAAAAATTGGTATTCAAGCACTTTTCCGCTGCTTAAAGCGGTTTAAGCTAACTTAAGCTGCTTAAAAATAGCTTACAATGGTAAAAATTTTCACATGGGTAATCACTTTGCTTCGCAGCCAATTTGTGTTTTCATTTATGCATGTTAATCAATTGCAAACACTATAAAACTCATTATACTTCAAACAAATGTCATATGTGAATGTGAAATCAATCCAAACAATGAGTGGACTTATATAAATTTTATATTATTCTTGCAAACTTCATTTGGCCCCCGAACTTGAGCTTCTGCTTCCTCTCAAAGGCAAACAAAGAAAATGATTTCATATAAAGTGTTCCTGTATGAGGAAAATAGCTCCAGAAACTTGAAGAAGTCTTTAAAAGAAATGGGATAGACATCTAGATGCAGAAAAACTACTTTTTAGGATATGGATGACGGTGTCTTTGATAAGTCTCTGATATCATCATCTACACCAGCAGCGACTTGTACAGCTGCACACATGCATACATTTCTCTAGTGTATCATTTCGATTCAGTCTGTAAAGTGTCAGCTGCATGGTGATGATACTATTCTAAACCATGCTGTGTAAAAAAGAAATACAATTCATTCTTTGGGACATGCTCTCTGATAGAAGACCATCGAAGTTTCATGGTGTCTTGAGACAAATTCGAAGGTATCTAAGCTGCTTCGATGAAAAGGAAGATTATACCTTTCTCGGCTGCTAGAGTTATTGCATAGTCACCATTACGATCAGCTGACATCGGATTACTGCCACGTTCGCAGAGCCATGCAACAAGATCAATACCATGATACTGTACTGCATAATGCAGTGGTGTTCGTTGTTGTTCATCTTGATAGTTAAAATTCGCACCGAGTGCTGCGAAAGCTGCTGCACTCTGCCTATCATCGTCTATTATAGAAGTAGAAAACTGTGAGCCGAGTTGCATTGTTAAGTATTGTTCTATTTCTGTATAGTTTTTCTGCTTACAGAGCTCTATAACTGACATGGGTTCGTCCTCATTCGAGTGTAACATAGTTGCTCCGCGCGATACGAGCGAACGCACAATTTGAACATAGTCTCCGTACTGAATTGTACAAAGGAGAGCCGTTGAACCCCGACAGTTTTTCGAATTAATATCAGCACCTAATCGCTGACATTTGACGAGCAAATCGAAATCGCCAGTTGCGGCAGCAAGACGAAGTCTGCGATCAATCAAATTACGATTGATGGTAAATGCAATATCATCGTTCATTTCTTCTGAAATAGATGCCGGGAGCACGACGCTATCTGACTGAAGCCATTCACTAGGTATTTTAGCTCCATTTTCACAAAGAGTCTGAACTAATAGGGCATTTTTGTGACATAGTGCTTCTATTAAATTATTTGTGTCCGCTAAGTCGACATTTGCACCGGCACGAATGAGCCGCTTAACAAGTTCTAGATCATTTTTCTTGATAGCTTCTGTACAGTCGATGGATAGCCGATATTTTATATAATTAGCAACACGGTTAAATTTGTTTTTCTTGGCAAGGTGATATGGAGAATCAGATGTAGTGTAGTTATACATGGCTTCATAGACAGTGCGGTCTTTTTTAATAAGATAATCGATAATTTCAACATTGTCAGATGACATGCAAGCAATATTGAGTAACTCAGGTGTTATCTGTATTCCACATTCACAGTAAGCCATAACACGATCGGGATTTGATTGTTTAATCGATTCTATAAGTTGTGTTCTCCCCAGCTGAAGGAGCTCATCAGCAATTTGTTGACAGCCTAGTACCATAGTACAAAACTTTCGACGATATTTGCTGCTTGTTGATTTTGATTCTGCTATCATGATATACTTTGCGGCTGAATCTTTTGCTACTTTGTAAGGGCTCCTTCCATTTTGAAGATAGCAGATATCAGCACCATCGTCCATCGCTTGTCTAAACATCGAAACATTTCCGTTTTTAGCAGCGACATGCAGTTTATCGTTGAGTCCACGATCAACAACTACGAGCAATTTGATACCATTTTTCGTCTTGTGATCAGGAGCATTTCGGTGTATTTCATGAACATCAATATGTGTCACCAATTCACATGTGTCTAGATCTGTTATTGGTGTAGTCTGCTTCATTTGTCCTTCTCGCGTGGTGTAATCTTTTGAAGGAGCTAGTTTCTGAAGAAATTCAACAGTTCTCTCCTTTTCAATTTGCTCTTCTTTGTTTCTGGATTGACTTCTTCGCGCTGAAACAAGTGGCGTCTCGTTCGCTGAATTCCGAGCCTCTTCATTAGCACCCCATAGAACTAAGTATCGAACAGTGCGATAATGATGATTTTCCGCTGCTAAATGCAATGGAGTATCATACTTGTTATTGAAAACATTTAACTCAACGTGACGACATTCTCTTAGAGTTTGAACGATTTCAAGTTGATTATATTTAGCTGCAATAGATATTGGATAATCACCATTTGAATTCTTTAACGCACAACTTGCTTTCAGGTTTTGGACAAGATATTTGATGAATGATTTTGTCGTCGTTTTACATGCTACATGCAAAACAGACCACCCATTATATTGGTCATTTTCATTATGTCGATGATCTATTTCAGCTCCGTAGTCGACTAGCTTTCGCGCTTCAGACAGAATACTCTGATTTCGGTCATCATTAGGTGTGGCGTTTGTAAGACAAATCCATAAACGTGTATTCAATTCTTTCTGAATTATATAAGCACTTTCATGTAGGTCTTGCTCGATAGCAAATTGATGGATGCTCTTCTTTGATATATCATTGAATAGTACATCTGTCGATACTCTCGGCAGTTTTAAAAAGGTACGAAGAACCGTAAATGGTTTCTTATCATGCAGAATACACACCTCTATTGGTCGAAGTCCTTGATTGTTTGTTGCAAATATATCTGCATTGAATTCACTAACAAAAGCGGTCACCATTTCTGGTGCACCATCATTAGTAATTAAATGATGAAGAAATGAATCACTATTTTTAATGCGTGCATTGATATTGGCACCTTTTTCCAAATAATCATAAATTTCTTCTTTTCTTAATTGTGACTTTTTCTCGCTAATTAATTGTCCTAATTGATTGCTGACCTTCTGTTCACGCAGAACTGCTATCAATCGAGCATTTCTCTCTGTAGCACTTTTAGCAATTTGAAGTGGCGTCTTGTTGGCTTTATTTGGGTGGTTCGTGTTGCAGCCATTGGCGACGAGAACTCGAGTGAGATCAACGTTATTGGCGAGAACAGCATTCAAAAGAACAGTATTTTGATCTTCATCTATCGCTTCTGGATTAGCACCTCGACGAATCCAATGTGCCACCTCGTTGACATCTATTTCAGGATGCGTGAATGGAATTTTGTTTAAGAAAGCATCAAGCTGTTGTTGCAAATAATCCGTTACACCTTGCATCGATTCTGAATGTTTTCTCGATAGAGATAGGCATGTTTGCTGTTGGTCATCTATTTTTGTTAAAGCAAATTTACCGTCTTCATCAGTTTCCACAAGAAATCGAACGATATCGAGCCGAATAGGGTTTTTATTCTGATTTAACAGCTTTCCCAACAGACCTAGAGGCCCATACTCTTGTTCCTGATAACAATTTGCTTTTAACTGAACCAACTGTTCCATCTTCTGAAGATCAGCATTATTTGAAAGCACCAACTCAGATAGAAGATTGCAGGCGCGTTGTTTTAATAAATCTATTACACGTTGACAATTATCGGCTTTGTAAGAAGCTATTTGACGAAGTCGAGCTTCTTCCTCAATGACATATTGAATCATTGAGCGTTTATTTCCTACACGCGCCGTTATATCAGCGTCATTTGCGATAAGTTGCCTTATCTCCGCATAAAACTTTGCTTTACTTGCGTCCTTTTGAATTATTTCTATTAGTCGTATAGTTGGATTCCACATCACCACAGGCTACACTGAAAAAAAAATTGGTACGATACCGAACCAAAAAGAGTACTGTGAACGAAAAAAAGGGTTCGTACATAGTACGGAACTTAAAAAGGTTTCGAATTCGTCGCAATTATCTGAACCATTTTAGGTTCGGTACAGACCATTACGAAAAACTTGAAAAAGTGTCCTGAGTCAATGACAATCATTTTTAGTCACTCAAAGTTTTGTATGAAACCTTTTGAGGGTTTCGTATTGCCTTCCAAAATAGTTCGGTACGCTGCAAAAGAATTCACATGATTACGGAACCATTTAGGAAGCCAATACGAAACCCTCAACAGGTTTCATACAAAACTTTGGGTGACTAAAACTGATTTTCATTGACTCAGGACATTTGTTCAAGTCTTTCGTAGTGGTCTGTACCGAACCTAAAATGGTTCAGATAATTGCAACGAATTCGAAACCTGTTTAGGTTCCGTAGTATGTACGAAACCTTTTTTCGTTTACAGTACTCTTTTTGGTTCGGTATCGTACCAATATTTTTCAGTGTACTTGTTGGCCAAAACAAGCGAGAACTTATATATCTAAAATGTCTGACCTTCCTATAAATGTAAAGAAATAGCAAGATTTTGAAAATATCGTTGAATAATTAGAGGAGGGTGTGGGTGTATAGAAGTGATACGCAGAAACTCGCACCCACATGCACACACTCACCGACAGCTGACCACGCCTATACCGACTGCCACGTACACACTCATACCCGTACTCACACACAAATCATGATTACGTAGTATTTTTGTGTCATATGTTCACCTAAAGAATAAAGACGTCGGAACCCATTTCGACAAAAAGAAACACGTTACTACATTAAAATCACACATTCTTATATCGAAATAAAAGTTGTAAGAGAGTCTTTTAAAACGCAAACGTCTTATGCTTCTGAGTTTGCCTACTGGCTAGTGTATGGCCCACCTAGAAGAGAGATTAGAATCGATTAAGAAATATTTATGTCCACTATCACTCATACCCGTGCATGTGCTGTTTTTTATAATTTTAATCTTCCATACGCCCCTAGCCTTTGTATTGGCTACATATAGATTACCTTCTAGATCATGAGACATACTGAGAGCACCATCTTGAAAACCATTATTATATGAGCCATCCACCACGGTGATACCGAATTTGGCACCAACATGCCATTGTTGGATTCGTCGATTACCGGAGTCAAGTACAAATAAATTACCGTTGGCATCAAGGACAACTGACGTAGGCCAACTTAACTGTACGGAAAACGGCCCTTGTCCGTTACCGCCGGCCACTACTTCGCCACTGGATGCCTTGTTTACCCATTTGACAACGCGATGATTTTCATAGTCAGCGACGAACAAGTTATCACTTTCGTCGACCCATATGCCTTTAGGATAATTCAGTTGGGTTAGGCTCGATCCAGCGGTGCCGTTACCCGCCACGAGAATACCGGTAGTAGTATTAGCAATCCACTTGGTTACACGATGGATACTCGCATCAGACACAAAAATAGTGCCGTTTGCGTCAACAAACAAACCGAAACAATCTATGACATTATCAAGTCCTGTATCGTACACACAGTTGCCGGCTACTGTTGATCCAATTGAGCTGCCATTCGTCCATCTCTGAATTCGATTGTTTCCTTCATACAGCGAGGAATTGCCAGTATCTGAAATGAATACGTTGAAATACTGATCGACAAATAGAGCTTGTATTGCACCCAGTTGATTGGGACCAGAGCCAGTTCCAGCACCCAATGGCGGTGCTATAAGGATTTCATTGTAAGGAAGATTCGGCGAGAACTTTAATACACGGTTATTGGAGGAATCAGAAGCATAGATTTCACCATTGATTGCAACAAAAGCTGAGTTCGGATAGCGAACATTAGCAACTAGAGAAATATTTGAGTCAAATATTGTCGCCGTACAATAACCGTTCATAGTTGAAGGAGAAACTAAAAGCGAACCAAAACAATGATAAATATTTCTGTTGATCATGAAATTTGTTCTCTTAGACGAATAGGAGAATAAGTCAATTCAAGGATCCCTTCCTTAATCTTAACGACAATTGTCAGAATTCTTTATTCCCTCGACTGAAGGGAGGGTCATATGAAATAAAATAAGTTTGCTTGTGGTCTTGTCGCGGGTCAAAAAAACACAAGGTCAAAAAAACATAGTTTTTGAAAATTTTTTTTAATGCAGAAACCGACTTTTTGAGAAAAAATAAATTTTTTCGAAAGCACCTGAAAGTTTTTTGAAAAAAAATTTTTTTTCAAAAATAGGACTTGAGATGGTAACTTTGGCACTTCATAACTTTTGATGAGAATTATGTATGGCTCTCAAATTTTTACTGTTAATAGGACACTAAAAGATGTATCTCTCCTGAAGGTTTCAGCTATCCGTACCGTTTCATTTGCTCAGGGCAGTTCCGTGAAAAACGGAATTTTGATAAATATGGGGACTTTCAGAATAGGCTTTCTCACAAGATATGGATTGTTTGGGACGTTGATTATTAGAACTTGGAAGTACACTCTTTGGGCTACAATTCTGTAAAAAGAATAGCGTGGGATCTCCAAGAACGGCTCCAGGGCACTTAGTGCAAAACACGAAAAAATGAGCCTTTTTCTATGGGAAATCTACCCAAGTGCACTTCAAAATTCCTCCAAGGATTATACTATGTCACATAAATTTGATATGGTAAAAATCAGCATCTAATTCTCTATTAGTCTGTATCGAAATATTCTTTGAAAATGAAAAAAAAGATTTTTATGAAAAATCGTCCTAGGGGAGTACAGGGGTTGTGAGAATAAAATGTTACAGAAAGAGGCCTGGAGGGGGGTAGGGGAATTTTTCGTAAAAATTTTCTTTTTTATTTTGAAAGGATATTTTGATACAGGGCAATAGAGAATTTAATGCTGATTTTTACTACATAAAATTTATACCGCATACTTAATTCCTTGGAGGAATTTTGAAGTGCACTTGGGTAGATTTCCCATAGAAAAAGGCTCATTTTTTCGTATTTTGCAAGGAGTGCCCTGGAGCCGTTCTCGGAGATCCCACGCTAATTTTTTTACAGAAGTGCAGCCCAAAGAGAGTACTTCCAAGTTCTAATAACCAACACCCCAGACAATCCATATCTTGGGAGAAAGCCTATCCTGAAAGTCCCCACATTTATCAAAATTCCGTTTTTCACGGAACAGCCCTGAGCAAATGAAACGGTATGGATAGCTGTAATTTTCAGCAGAGATACATCTCTCAATGTCCTATTAACAGTACAAATTTGAGAGTCATGTATCATTCTTATCAAAAGTTATGAAGTGCCAAAGTTACCATAAATGGACCTTTTTTCATATATTGAGTGCTTCATAAAATTTCAATGGCTCAATATTTTAAAACGAAAATTTTATGGAAAATAGAATTCATCAAGATGCATAATAATAAAAAATTTCAGCTCATTTGGTTGAACCATTCATGAGATATCGTTGCATTAGGATCCCCATTTATATATATGGTCATTTTTAGGCTATTTCGTATAATGCTCATAAAAAAATCGAGGGTTCAATATTTTTTTGAACCGGTTTGCGTCAAAAATCATAAAACTCTTCCCTCTGGAACATATCTTAAATTGAGCAAGTTTTGATGATATCGATTGAGCAACTTCGGTCGTTGCTTACATGGACTGGTTCTTTAGGCTTTTCGCCGTTTTGATGAAACTTTGATAGAGGCCATCGAGGGCCCTGAATCTGAATCCGAAGTACATTTCTTTGATCGACGTTTCATTGGTCGGGAGCCGGCCAATTAGAAATCAACTTTTTTATTTTAAGACTTTTTGCTCTTTTGATGGAACGTTACTAAGGAATCGAAATCTTTGTTTTGCACGTAGTTCCCTCGGCTGAAGGGAGGGTCATGCGAAGTAAAATGCATTTGTTTGTTATCTTGCTTGATTGGGGTCAAAAAAACATATCAGAGAGGTTAGCTTATGTTAAGACTTTTGGTCGTTTTGAGTGAACTTTGCTATAGGTTGTCGAGGGCTCTGAATCCGAATCTGAAGCCCATTTTTTTGGCCGAGGTTTCATTCGTCGAAAACCGACCAATCAGAAACGATCTTTCTTATTTTTTGTGGCAGGTCAAAAAAACATTTTTTTTCAGAATTTTTCTTTTATGTAGAAACAGACTTTTCGAGAAAAAATATATCTTTTCGAAAACACGTGAAACTTTTTGAAAAAAATTTTTTGTCGCAGGTCAAAAAAACATTTCTTTTTCGAAAATTTTTTTTTAATGTACAAACAGACATTTTTGAGAAAACTGCACTAATATTTTCTTAATGAGGTATTTCGATAAGACTCTGATTTTTGAGCTGCAGGATGAAATGGAAGAAATCAGAAATACTTCACAACGAAGCTTTGGTTTAGAAATCCCCGTCGAGAATTCTCATGCTATAGATCTAATGGTTTTTCGAATTAAGCCGAGTTTGGGATTAGATGAAGTATGAATAAAAAAGGATGGTGCTGTGGAGAAATAGAACGAAACATAGCAGCGGCTAGTCGTGAGTGGTGCCCCGGAGGGGCGCCGACGAACGACTAGCCGCTGCACTAGAAAGTCCCTTAAAGGAATGCTTCAAGCTGCTGGTATTCATCAAATACACATCAAGAGTCTAGGTCATACGGGTTTGAAAAAGGAGTAGCAGTTGCTAAGAACTGAGAAATATTTTGAAATAAAGTGTGAGAACAGCTTTTCTGCACCTGTGGGATATTTGAATAGTACATTTGAGGGAAAGCATTATTTATAGAATTTATATTCGTTCTATAGGAATGCTATTTGAATGAAATAAACGGGGATTTCCTTGGTGGGATGCTTTCTTGTCGATACTGATTCAAATGTCGAAATGTATATGGATATATTGAAACAACTTATCTAGTCTGATGGCTAATATGAGTAGGAGGTTCTTCCAAGTGTGGTAGTCCGATTATAGACCAGACCTAATATTATTAATTGTGCGCTAGAAGTTCAAGTAAGTCCTATTTTTCTAGCGGACGCTCTAGTAAACAATATTGTCGGCAGATGTGTCAGTAAGCGAACGAACTTATAGTAGAAATTTTAAGGAGTATGGCGCGTTTTCACGAAAGTGTTCCGAATGAGCTTTGCTTCATTACCTCTCTGAAAGCTGAATATAAGCTCCTTTTTTGGGTACATATGGATATCGTCGTCATAGTGTGGTTCCTTAGATTTATTGTTGAGTGTCAATGTGACGGTATCAATTTCATTGGATGCATTTGTGACAAAATGTTCATCCGGGCCCCCATACAATTATGCACAATGAGATTGACGTCAATGTCAGCGTATACATACCTACCCACCCTTTTGGAACATCGGATACTAGCTGTGTTGAAGACTGTCGATCGGAAGAAAAAATAGAAAGGGCCGAATATGCAGTCGAGGGTCAAGCGCGTCACACAGACGAGCGTTACTTGTATTTTTGGGTAAACTGCAATCTCATCGAACTAAATAGTTTATCGAGATTTGTATTAGTTGTTTGAACCGAGAGGGACGAAGATTTAGAATCTCGGGAGATATCGAATTTAAAAGCAATTAAAATAGTTTCCCGTATATTGAGATTTTGAAGACCACAATTTAAGATTGATGTCTATGTTGAATATGGTTATTAGTGCTGAAAAAGGGAATAGTTTTGCGTAAAAGACATGCAAACGTCAACGCCGACACTCACAGCCACATTCCATAACTGTAAATAATCAAATTAGAATAATGAATAATAGAAAAAGGGATGCAAAAATATAGCTCATTAGTCAGTAGCGCTCGTTTGGATCGTTTCCATCAAAGATGGATTTCAGCAGCAATGTAGTTTTATTCTTTATTTCGTGAAGGTTTGAGCTTTCTCTTTGAGATTTTGCACTTGAACTTTCGTTCTTTCATTATTCTGTCTTTGAGCAATCAAAACTTCTCCGTTGATCAAAGGGACTGTGAACAACTTACAAGGAAAGAAACCATTATGTCATCATGTCTATCGAAAAATTCAAGAAATATCAAAATGTATACGAGAAAAGCTGACATGTCAGTTATATATTCTGCTATTCATATAAGCAGAATTTCTAACAAACAAAACCTCTAGAAATTCTTTCAAAAAGAAATATGTGAGATTTTTACAAGAAACATTGAGTTCTTACCGAAGCAAACGGACTAGCATGGTAATCTTGACTGGTAATAGAAGTAGAATTCTTCAATTAAGAGATCTCAATATGATAAACTGTCCAAGGTAGGCGCCTACTCATTCAATAAATAATATTGTGAAATTCAATAAAGAGAGGAAATACTACTGATTAGACTAATCATTCGAGTATATCGATTCATGAAAGTCGAGTGCATAACCATTCTTATAGAAAATATGAGATAACGCCAACAAAAACTTTATGTGTTATACGTAATATATTATTCAAGCATATCAAACAAAGGTTATTTGGACATCGTTGAAAGGAGAGTAACTATCGGACATATAAACTGTACTCGACATCTGCTAATTGATCTGCAAAACTGAGAAAATGTGCAAATGAAGTACATGTGCATATTGGTTTCTCGATATGTTGGTTTAATTACCGCACAAGTTATTCTATCATATCTTGAGAAAACTTTACAAAGCACTGCAGAAAGACGTTTTGATCATACATATTGAGATGAACAATAGCATTTTTGCAAATGAATGGCCTAAGATCTTAATTAGACATGAACAATATGGTTTCATTGTTTTCTGACATGGGACTGGAGCTAAAAATGACTGCGGCAATTCATGCCCACTGTCATTCAGTATGATTGGACTTCTTTATTCATCGGTTGATTGCTTTTTTTATACATATTGTTTCAGATAAGACGAAATGAAGAAATAATCGTTAGTGAGAGGAAATCCGGTCGAAACAAATTGTGGAAAAAGTTATATTGTCGCACATAATGACTTCAAACACTACGCAGCTCACTTCATCCTTTCCTCTCTCGAGAATAGACGCACGGGCGCTTGTTTGCATTCTCCTCTGACATCATCATCATCCTCCTCCTCATCTTGTTGAATGAGGAGAGGAAATAACGGTAGTCATCGTTACAATAAGAAAGGTTCATCATCAAATCTGAAGCTAAGTAATTTATCTATTAGCGAATTGCCAAAAATGAATCAACAAACAACTACCGGTGCTTTTGATACGTCAGGTACCTATAATTTGGAAGAAATGATCGCTTTCATTCGTCAAAATCCAAATATCGCTTTTGGTGTTCATGAACATCTTACTCACCATTCTCATCCTCACCGTCTAAATGCTCCAACTCAATCATCAACTTCTCAAACTCCGAAACGAAATTTAGATTCAAGTGATAATGATGGTGCACAGATATCAAAACAACAACGGGTTTTATCGAACGGTAAACAAAAAAAGACTCGTGAAATGAATTTATCGAAGGTTCCAAGTCCCTTACACCAATTGAACAATCATTTTCCATTGGATCAACCTCAACTACAAGCATCAGTACAACAACAACATCAACTTCCTTTTGAACAGTTAAAACGTGCTGTTTCAAGCAATCTTCCATGCTTTTTCACTGAATGCGAACAAGCAGAAAACCCGAAGAATAGACCATCGGATATATCAGCAGCACGTGTAATTGAAGATTATTTCAAACAACAAGGAATCTCGATCTCATTCTCACTAGTCGGTCATGCAGGTAATAAATTAAAATTAGGAGTAAACAACAAAGAGTCGTACGCAACATTAATAACTACGGATAAATGGCCGTCACAAGTCAATAATATCAACATCACTGTGATTAAGCCAAAATTTACGCCGGATTCCTTTGCGCTTGTGGTTCGTTATCTACCTCTTCAGTACGATGACGATTATGTCAAGGAAGAAATTAAACGAAATCTTCAATCAGTCGAAAATATGAGACGTATTCAGTATCGCTTCCAACGAAGAACAAATGATTTTCGATTTATTGTTAAAGACTTGCATGAATATAATTCAACTTTAAAATTAGGTCGCATATCGACTGGAAATACATTTTGTACTATTACACCATTTCTGACAGGTAATCGAATGACATATTGTACTCGTTGCTGGTGTCTAGGTCATATGAGAGATAAATGTAATGGAAAATATCCACGTTGTCGAATATGTCTTGGCAATCTTATAACCGGTCAAACACATGAATGTTCGAATACGGTCCGCTGTGCTCAATGTGATGGTGATCATCATTCTTTATCTAGTGAATGTGGAAAAGTAGTTGAATATCGATCTGATTTAAAAGAACAAGTTGATATTGCATTATCAACAGGCAAACTACAGCGTTTAGTGCCTCAAGATCATGTTCAACCGACACAATTTCGGCTGAAGCAAAACTAATTCCCATCGCTACCACGGCTAATGTCTTGCACTACTCCATGGAAACTAACTTCAGTACAATCAGCAGTAACAAATAATATAAATGAAACTGAAGATACAACGAAAATTTTGCTCTCGATAAATCAAAACATTTTGGATATGAAAGATAATACTTGTCGTATTGATGAAAAATTAGATTGCATCAACGAGAAGGTAAATCAAACAGCTCTCGATGTTGAGCTACATCATGAAATACTAATGAAATTACTACCTACACTCTCATCATTAATCGATGAATTTATCTGGCCGATGATGTTAAAAGATGTTGCAGGATTGAGAAATAGACAGGAACAATTACAAAAAATTTATAGCAGTTTTAACTCGTCATTAAATTATTTGAAAACGGACTACACAGCTCGGCGAAAACGTAGTTCATCTCCACTTCCACAACTCTCTCCATCGCAACAAAGGTCGAAAGCATCTAGTAACACGCCGAACAATGAAACTGAGCAAAATATGAGCAGATATATGAGTACCTTTCTTTCAAAATTGCGAATAGATGCCAAATCCTTTTTTCCCTCTCAAACATTTAATCCTAAAGAGACAGCGATGAATCAAGTTTATCAATGGGGTCTTCACGCAAATGATCAGAAAGTAGTAGACGAAGTTCTTTCAGAGTGGTTTACAGCTGGCACTCTAGAGAATATCCTCACACAGTGGGAAAATAAAACTCAGAAAAAAGTAGAAAGAGAGCAAGCGTCTTTGAATATTCTCTGCTATAACGTACAAGGATGGGGATCCAGAAGCTTAGAAGTAATTGATATTGTTTATAAAATAGAAGCATCAATATGTGTATTTACTGAAGTCGGAGAGTTATGGAATACATCTCAAATACCTCATTTTAATATTTTTCATCAGCATGGAACTAATAAAAGTGGTGGTGTATGTGTAGCTATAGGAAAACATTTAAAAGGATCAAGAATCAACTTAAATATTGAAAATACAATTATTGTTGATGTCGATGGTCTCTCTGAAACAGTTAGAATAATTGCTATTTACTGGCCAGCAGGCCAAACAAGAGTTTTAGAAGAATTAGAGTCATATATCACTCAAAATACAATCATGATTGGTGATTTCAATGCGTCCGTAAAAGAATGGGGTAGCACGTCATCAGATAAAAGAGATAGAATTTTGAAAGAATGGGTGGAAAAAAACAATCTTTGTTACATTCCCTCAATATCGCATTCTTCAAAACGTTCGAATGGGAACATTGATTTAACATTTACAAATTTAGGAGGAACAAGAGGAGAGACTCTAAAGTTGGGTACCAGTGATCACTGGCCAATAATGATAACTTGTGAGAATTTAGTATTTGATAAGAATATTATTTTTCCCCACGTGCATTGGAAGGCGTATGAAGTCATTCTCACGTTGTTGCAAGAATTTTGGCAAAAGGAACATAATAGAGGGATGCCAGTGGATGATTGGTATATGAATTATGTGCGCTTTCTTGCTGCTTTAAAAACAGACTTACACAATGGAAAGAAAAAGAAAAATTCCGACCAGCTCTACCTGCTTATCTTATTCAGAAGCTGCAAGAAGTGAAACGAGTTAGAAATAAATATTATCGAGAGAGAATAATATGTAATATTAATGAAGAAACAAGAGTGCTACCGCGGGTGTTAACACGAGAAGTAAAAATTGAAATTTCAAAATATAAGACGAGTAAATGGCAAGAGTTTTTGTCAAAAATTCAAGAAACACATGACAATAAGGAGCGAGTGTTTTGGCTTTATCTCTCGCGAATATATAAACATAGTTCACTACCGTTTTCGAAACTTGATACCGATACAGCAATACTAACGAAGGAGGATGAAATCAAAGATGAATTTTATCGGTACTACTCGGAACAGTTCCAAACTCCAAGTACAGATATGTCAGATCTGAATAAAGTTCAGATTGATATAGAATATTTAGAACTGATGAATAAACTAGCATTGGTTAATGAAAAGATTGAAACGACAAACATTGTAGAAATAAAGAAACACATATCGAAGTTGAAACCAAAAAAATCATGTGGGTTCGATGCAGTGTCAAATTATATGATCAAACGAATTCCACCAGGGTATATTAGTTGTCTAGCAAACTGCTTTAATACTTGGCTTAAAGAATACAGATATCCAAATGTTTGGAAATTAGCTAAAATAATTACAGTGAATAAACTAAAAGCAGAAGTACCCCGTTGTGATCAAACACGACCAATATCACTTTTAGCAACACATTCAAAGCTATTTGAGAAAATTATGCTAGAAAGAATAAGACACTGGGCTGAAACTAATAGTTTAGTTTCAATCGAACAGTCGGGTTTTCGTCCAGGTTGTCTGCTTTCTACTAGAGTTCTATCTATATATCAAGAAGTCAAAAACAATATGACAGCTAATATTCCGACATTAGCAATTTATGTCGACTATCAAAAGGCTTACGATAAAGTGTGGCATAAAGGTCTTATCGTAAAACTCAATAGACTCAGTATTCCTTTAGGACTATTAAATTTAATTGTGTCATGGTTAAATGATCGTCGTGCATATGTTATATTTGGAGAGAACAAGTCAGAGATATTTTATACATATGTCGGTTTGCCTCAAGGTAGTAGTTTAAGTCCATATCTGTGTGTTGTCTATCATTGTGATCGAGTCGCATGTGTAGGTGCTCATTCTAGCCACATATTTGCTGACGATCTCAACATACTCATATCGCCGCCAATATCGTGAGAAATAAAGCCAATGATTAAGTTTCTAGCAGAAGAAGGAACAAAAACATGTAACTAAATAGCGAACTATTCGAAAAATGGAAACAACCAGTTAATGTGTCTAAAACAGTAGCGCAGATTTTTCACACACAAGTGCAAAATCCAGTAATCGATGTTTTTATGGATGGTATGAGATTAGAAGTAGTTAAAGACTTTAAATATCTAAGCTTCATCTGGACAAATAAGATGTCCTTAAAACCAATAATTGATAAAACTCTTGAGAACATTCAAAGAACATTTAGTAAATTACGATGGATGAAAGGTGGTAAAACTGTCTCAACAGACGTTTTGAGAAGATGCTTCTTTGCGTACAGTTTTCCGTATTTTGTCTGGATATTTCCACTGTATCCATTCCTACCGGAAACCCAAAAAGAATTATTGCTAAGAAAGTTTAGAAACGGATTAAGACTAGTTCATCGCTGTCCTTTCGCTCGAGCAACAAACATTCTTCAAATAACAAATGAAGAATCTTTAGAATACTACGTAAAACGATATATAAAGAAAAGATTAAAACGAATTGAAAAATCAGATTTAGGTCGATCGCCCTTCTACAATGATTTATTTTATTGGGATTCCTTTCGTAAAGATAAGAATGATCACCTGGGTCATTTCTTTCGAATGAAGCGAGTCAGACGCAAACGTGAGAGGCATCAATCGCTGCTTCTGAAATGGCTCGAATTTTTGTAGTTAAGTGAAATCCGCCATGTGATTGCTTGTTTATTGTTTCGTGCTCTCTGTCCCTCGCTCTTTCAGCTCGTCCCTTTTTTCTTTTTTCTTTTTCTCTCCTTCCTTTTTCTTCCTTTTCTGTTTTTTCTCCTTTTTTTCTATTCTCTCTTGTTCTCTTGTTCTCATGTTCTCCTTCATTTTATTCTATTTTATTTTCATTTTTCGGGTTATTTACATGTATAATTCTATACATCATATTCTATCTAGTAAGCGTGGCATCTTATGATTGTATTGTGCTCTCTTCTGCATGTTTAATAGCTCATTGCCGTGATAACCAAACAGCTGTTAATTCTTACGGTAATTCCTGTAAGCACTTCCGAGTGTTACAATAAAGGGCGAAATTGAAAAAAAAACACTATGCAGCTATTGCGATGAACGACCAAACTGTTGGCAAGATAGAAAAGCAACTAATTTTAGTAAAACTACATTTTTCATTCAATGTAACAAAAGAACAATGCACGCACATTCAAAATAAGTATCTACGTAGATCAGAGTTTAACGAAATTAGACATTTTGTCCGAGTCCGTGCTGCTTTTCTGGAAATCATAGTAGGGAAAAAAAACTTATTGACTCTCATTGAGTTTTATTCATCACTTCTACTGTGAAGGAGTACTGACTGAAGCGATTCAATATGCATTTCATAAGCCTAAAAATAAATGTCAACGATGCATCAAATAAAGAGCACCGGAAACAAAAATTTCGAAGTTCGAATGGAATTAATTTTCAGTTATTAGAAACTGAACTCCAAAACAGGGTATTCTGCTAATTATATTCAAATATACTGAAACTTTCTATGTTGCACATCTATCTAGGGATTCCTACGATTTATACTAGAAGAAAAATTCAATCAATTGAATTAAATCGGTTTTTAGAGAATTCCACGGTTATGCTACTGAAGCTTTTGCGATGAGACGTTCTCTGTGGACAGTTAATCATTGATTTCAGATCTAAATTTGTCTTCATTCATTCATCAATATCGAACTCGAACTCATTTATTAATGTGAGTCAAATAAGATATGGCAGAGTGCGGATTTTTGTAAAGTACGCATTCAATATTCACGTTTATTGCACTGCTGTATGTTTGAACCTTATTTTGATAATCTCAAGTTTCATTGCACAAAAATTTCTGGAAAATACAATAAGAGTAAAGTTATGGTGGACTCTTACTTTCCTAGTCTATTAGCTTCTGTACTTTCATCTTTGGACAGTTTTTATTCCGAGTGAAGTTTAGGGAACTTGCATCGACATCTCCTGCCTAGATTCTTCTCCGGAAACTTCAGCTTCTCAGCGCTAATCCTTGATTTAAACTTTAGTCATAACTTAGGGGCTATCCTGATTAAATGCCGAACGAACCGTCAACAGATCTTTTACACATAAAAAATAAGACTTTCTCTTTCAATTGTGCATTTTCCTTCGTTGTTACTCTTTCAAAAACCTAGTAACTTGCTGCAAACTGTACACAGCCCATTTCCATATTACGGAATCGTTTTCAGATTTTGTAACTACTCTGGAAACGTCTGTGAACATCGATCGTTTCGTTGTCAAATAGACCGGCATCAGCTTGAACGAACTGAACTATATTTATTGAGCTTTTCGTAGAGGTGCATGACAGAGTTACAGGGCAATCCAACATCATCACACTCAAGTACACACAAAACAATCATCGTACGATCTAATGACAAAGTTTCCAGCAGAGGATAGGTTAACTGCGTGCGAGCTTCTAATTTCATAATATTTTTACAAAACTACTGTTGCCATAGAGATATATAACTCATAAAAGAATAACGTACTTGTAACCGTCGGTGTCGTCGTTGTTGGGATCCCTATATAAACTAATATACACTACATATATTTACCAATTTATTAAAACTTACCTGTGCATGACGGTTCTGAAATACGGGAAATCTTCAATAACTTTAGCTGGCTCGAATCAACAACATATAAATTCCCACCGGAGTCCATTACCATACTACCAGAAGCCATCCTCGATTGCCACCAATTGGTGCTTGACGGATGATAAACTGATATATCGAAAATCGTGATGCCAACTAAACTACCAGGTACAAACTGCTGAATGCGTTGATTACCAGCGTCAAGGATATACAAGTTTCCATAGCCGTCGACGGTGATGGCAGTTGGATAATTCAGTTGTACAGCAAATGGGCCTTGACCTTGCCCACCAGCTACAAGCTCACCACTTGTCGCATTCATTGACCATTTCACTACACGATNAGCGGAAAAATGAAAATCCATCAGAATAATGCTATTTTTCATAGGAAAAATGGCTGAGAATAATGGAATAATGACTATGACAAGAGGAATAATGATCTTATTTTATAGTTACATATATTTTTTTGATTAGCGGAAAAATGAAAATCCATCAGAATAATGCTATTTTTCATAGGAAAAATGGCTGAGAATAATGGAATAATGGCTATGACAAGAGGAATAATGTTCTTATTTTATAGTTACATATATTATTTTGGTCAGCGGAAAAATGAAAATCCATCAGAATAATGCTATTTTTCATAGGAAAAATGATTTAGAATAATGGAATAGTGACTATGAGAAGAGGAAAAATGATTTTATGTTTTAGTTACATATATTTTTTCATCAGCGGAACAATGAAAATCCACGAGAATAATGCTATTCTCCGTAGGAAAAATGATTGAGATTAATGGAATAATGGCTATAACAAGAGGAAAAATGACTTCATCATGTTGTTATATGTATTTTGTCCTCAGCAGAAAAATGAACATCGATCAGAATAATGCTATTCTGCATAGGAAAAATGGTTATGAATGATGGAATAATGACCACGAGAAGAGGAAAATTGATTTCATCTTAGAGTTGTATTTTTCTTCTAGTGGTAATATGAAAATCGATGAGAATAATGTGAATATACGAAGGAAGATTATTCGATTGAAGTAATTTTCAACCGACAAGCTAGAGAAAAATTCGATTGAAATCGACCAAACATTTTTAATAGATAAGAAGTCAATTCGAACGTGAAAGACAAATATTCTCTTTCTTCTCTCTCGTGTTTCTGTAATGTGAAAAATATTCAAAAAGCTCCAAATACCGACCAATCAAAAAGAAAAACAATTTTGAATCACCAATCAAATTTAAGTTCATTGATCGCTGCTCACTATACAATAGAAAAACAACAATAAGAAAAACAACAAAATCAAATTATTCTGTATAACCAAAAGTTCAACTTCCTCCTCTCCCCGATTATTGAAACAGTTGACTTTATAATAAACTTTGAACATATCTTTCGATGAGGCATATTCGTTTTCTCTTTGACGTTCTTCTCATATATACAAAATCATTTTTCCTCTATAGTAAAGCACTTTTCCGCTGTCTTTTCATATTTCCTTGCTACTAAAAATATATGTATATAGATTTATATATGACAGACATTTTTCGTTCCTGTTCGAGCATTATTCCTATTAGTTGAAATCATTTTTCCTTTCTAGTAAATCATTTTTCTCCTGCAGTAAAGCATTTTTCCGCTGTCTTTTCATTTTTCCTTCCTACTAAAAATATGTATATAAACATATACATCAGAGACATTTTTCGTTCCTGTTTGAGCATTATTCCTATTATTTGAAATCATTTTTCCTTTGTAGTAAAGCATTTTCCCGTTGTCTTTTCATTTTCCTTTACACTAAAAATATTTGTATATAGATATATATATGATAGACATTTTTCGTTCCTGTTCGAGCATTATTCCTATAAGTTGAAGTCATTTTTCTGCTGCCTTTTCATTTTTGCATTCACTATGTATGTATAGTACAGATAGCTCTCTTTATCGTGTAACAACTTGATGTATATCATCATGCATAAAATAACATTTTTGACTTGAGCGTCTTTCTATAAGAAAAGTGTTAGATATGTGAATAGGTATATATATTCTAGTGCAGCGGAAAAATGAAAATGCATAGGAATAATGAGGATATCTATAGTAAAAGTGAAATGGAAAAATGAAAAAATGATTTCTTCTATAAGAAAAGTGTTAGATATGTGAATAGGTATATATGATATGACGTAAATTTTAGAGTCTATGTGTGAGTACGGATAAAACGATCACTCATATTCACATCCTAGTCTTCAGCAAAACTTCTCTATAGAGGATAACTGCGAATCTTTCGCAAGTGTTCAATATAAGTATGTTGAATTCTAGTCAAAATCACTCTTCAAAACAGCAGTGGGCAACAAATCGATCGGTGAGAC